ATGACACAATGCAGCAACAGGATGTCCAGGAAGGGTCCCAATAAGGCCCCAGTATCTATGGTGTGGTAGAGGCCAGGAGCCAGACCAGTGATTTTTTTTATATGCCTGCATGTAAAAACGTATGAATAAAGGGGTTTATTATCACTGTGTCACACTGCAGCTTCCAGGTCAAGATTGTCCCTTTCTCTCACCTCCCCCGCTTTTTCCCTTCTTTCCTTTTAAATTTTATTTTGTTTTATTGGTGGATGGTTGGGATCGGGAGGCATAATGTGAAAGACACAAAGAATAAAGAGAAAGTTAGAAAAATAGAAGTCCATGTCTTGGGTGGAAATGAGACCTTCTGAAGCCTGTTCTGATGCCTTACATTCTCCATTGGTTAACGGAAGTTGTCTGCTTGCTGGGTTTTAGAACCACTGAGAAAAACAATCTCTGTTTCTGCAAATGAGGCATTATCTAGATAACGTCAGTTGAGGTGGGAAGACTCATCCTGAGTGTAGGATGACTCCATGAACTGGGGTCTTAGACTGAATAAACAGGAGAAGGCAAGCGGAGCGGTTCCGGTTCTTTACCTTCTGGTCGTGAATACAATGTGGCCAGCCGCCTTAAATTCCTACTGCCCTGCCTTTCCCTCCATCATGAACTGGATCCCCTCACACTGCAAGTCAAAATAAATCCTCCTTCTTCAAGCAAACTGCTTGTCAGGTGTTTGGTCGCAGCAATGAAAAAGGTCACGAATATGTCTCCCCAGACTCTAGTTCTCTACTCAACAAATGCTTGTGGAGAAATGACTGAATACCAGGTTCTGATGAAGTGTGAGTATTCAGCATTCACACAGATCCTCTGGGCCAAGGATATCCTTTAAGATCCCACACCACCATAACTTGGTGACTTGTTTTGTTTTTTAATTTAAAAAAAGGGTCACGTTTGTTTGTTTGCTTGTTTACTGTCAAGAAACATAGACTTTCTCATATGGCCTTGGGAAATGAGGAATGTAGGGTTTTAATATCTTTCTGAGTTGTATTTCTGTTCATCTCTTCTCCTGCCTCTATGATCAGAATTCTTTGCCTCCCCCTACCTGAAATGGCCTATAGTGGTGTATTAGTCAGGTAAAACTAGCTCTGCTTCAGTAACAAACAAGTCCAAGATTTCAGTGACTTAAAAAAAATCACAAAATACAAACACAAAGGTTTATATCTTGGTCTTGTTACATGTCCACCAAGAGTTATTCATGGCAGACAGGTCATGTGGAGACCCAGAATGCCAGAGAAATGACAATCTTAAAAAATAAACTCTGAGGCAAAAAGTATCCATCATGGGTCACTCATGCTCACATTTCCTTGACCAAAGCAAGCGCCTAACGTACTTTGGTGAGGATATATAATCCTGTCAAGGCACTGGCTGGAGAGAGAACTCAAGCACCCGTAAATAACGATAATCACTTTTGCACATGGCCTCTTCAGCTCAAACTCCAAATCCTTTTCATTTCAGCACTTAATAATTCATATTGTCTGTGTTCCTTAGTGTGAACTACAGTGGGATTGAAGCTGAGTCATCCAGCTTACCTTTGCCTCACAGGCTACATTAGTTCAATGGTTCGTCTTTGTACCTGTCCTTATTCATGACCAATCGCTGGGGAATACATGATATAGCAAGTGGCTATTCAGCCCTCTCTTCACAGTCTATTTTGAGGATCAGAAACCTGCCTAGTACAGAATTTGTTGCTGCAATCATGATATTAGGCTTGTCATATCCCTTGATGGGAGGAAGGTCATGGGTAGAACAATCCATGAAGCTAGGTGGGACCTGGCCAGCTGTCAGGCCATTCAGATAACAGAAGTCAACAGGGGTGACATAGTAATGCCTGAACTCAGGGACCCACCATGTCAACCCACCATGTCAACCCGTGAATGACAATAATATGGTAGCTCTGGAGCTACAGAGCTAGCTTAGTGAGCACTTGAGTTCACTCCCCAGAATATACATTAAAAACCCAGGTAGGTTGGTGCACATCTGCCATACCAGTGTTAGAGCAGACAATCCCTACGGATCCACCCAGCAAGCCTAGCCTACATGGCAAGTTCCAGATCATTGAGAGGCCTTGTCTCAAAACCAAAGTAGATGGCACCCTGAGGAGCAACACCCAAAGTTGACAACACACACACACAAACACACACACATACACACACAAACACACACACACACACACACCACACGCCACACAAGTTAGCTCAGTGTAACTCAAGTTCCACACTTGAGCTACATTGGCCTTTGAGTATGGCTGTAGGTGAGAGGGCCAGGGCTAAGGAGAGGTAGAAACACTTCTATAGCTTCTATCCACACAAGAGCCATGCATTATGTAACCCTGGGACTCCGGGGTCAGAAGAAAGAAGACAGGAGTTCAAGGATAACCTAGAATCCCAAGTCCTTTGCCATCCTGTCTCACCTTGCCTTTCCAGTCAGATGTCCAAGAAAACCTACTGTCCACCCACTTCAACGGCTTCTCACTCCCTGTTGCTACCCCATCTAAAGTCTTTTTTCTTTTCTTTTTGTTTTGTTTATTTTTTCGAGACAGGGTTTCTCTGTAGGTTTGGAGGCTGTCCGGGAACTCTCTTTGAAGATTGGGCTAGCCTCGAACTCACAGAGATCCGCCAGCCTCTGCCTCCTGAGTGCTGGGATTAAAGGCATGCGCCGCCGCCGCCACCACCACCAGCAGCTTTTTTTTTTTTTTTTTTAAGCTTCCCAAAGAAGGCTTTTCTGTCTGCTCTGACCTGGTTCTTCCTATGTCTTCCTTTCTGAGGTCTTGCACCCCTGTTCATTGTCAACACCCAGATGAGGAAGATGAATGTCTCTCAATTTTGCGTTCAGAGTCCAGTACTGCCTGTTGTGTATGTAGCAGGTACCCAGCTATGCTATGTTTAATGAACTGTAGCATTAGTTCATTTTACAAGGCTTTGGCGAATTTTTCAGCTCTGCCTAGCACATTGAGAAAGACAGTGTCTACTTCAGCATCCTAGTAATAGAAGAGAGAATGGAGGAAGTTTTTCTATGGCTAAGGCTATATTAAAAAGTAGCCATGTCCCTTTTGGATCTCAACTTCTAACTCCGAGTACCTATTCTTCACCCTGCTTTAAACCCCAGGCTGGAGAGTCAGCTTCCTATAGCCCGTACATCTGAATACTGCCAATACTTGTGCCCAATGTGTCAATGCTCTGAGCCACTTGGCATGTGGCAAGTAAGGGCTCTGGTGAGTTTTCTGTGTCACAAGGTCTCTGTGCATCCTGCTCTGTGTGCATCCGACTCTAGGATTCTGGTGTCACAGGAGGATATGTTTTCCCTCCTGGGCAGTCAGAAATTCCATAAAATCCCAAAGAGGAATTTGGTCATTCTCTTGAAGGACTTAACAAGTCATTTGGCCTTCCTAATCTGCTCGGACACCGTGTGGGGAATATTTGATATCCATGTTGTACAGGTTGTAAGTTATTCTGTAGGGACTGGTCACAAGACCCTCACAACACTGTCTCAGTTGGTCATGGGTGAGGTTTGGAGACAGCTCCTCCCACCCCATTTTCATTGAAACTGACAAGATCAGGCTTATCCTCCTTGGGGCCTGAAATAAGATACATTTAAATAGATATTTAAATAGGTAGAAGGGGAAATCCTCCTGTCTTCAAGCCTCTCCCACAGTGCAGAGCTGGCCCCTTCCCTCTACAGAGTTCAGGCCATGGACAGAGCCATTTCGTTAGGCTAATTTGTACCATGTTTTTAGCACCCTGGAACCCAAGTGCCTTACAGAGAAAGATGGGCTCCCTGTATGGATCAGTGTGAGGCAAAGATGAAAAGCGAGATCTGAAGGGTCTTTGGGAATCCTCTGCCCTCTGAACTTAGTTGTGAGGAAATGGACCAGAAAGATGGATCAGCAGGTAAAGGAGCTTGCTGCCGAGCCCAAAGACCTGTGTTGGAGACCAAGACCCACAGGGTGGAAAGAGAACTGACTCCTAAAATTATCCTCTGACATGGCACGAGTGAACCTCTGTGACTACCCCCAAATAAGTAAATGAATATAATAAAGTATTCAAATAAGTAGAGGGAGCTACAGTAGAGGGAGCTACAGAACTGAGGCTGTTACCAATCATGGCTACACAGCTGACGGTGACTAAAGACCAGACACCAAAATGCCTAAGTCTGAACGCAACACCCCGCCCCCAACTCCCAAAGGGGAAAAAAGCAAACCCCAAACCTCTACACGCTAATACACTCCTTTTACCCTTTCCAAAGCATCGCACAGGCACATAACTCAGCCAACTGGGCCCTAAGTCCCTAAAGTATTTTATTACCCACCCCCGTTTTGGTGAAAAGACTCAAGAGACCTCCTATTCGTTGTCATTGTGTCCACCAGCAGGGGCAGAGAGACAGGGTCCCAAGAATGACCCCACACCTTCCTCCAGCTCTATTTCTCTGCTCTGGTTGACATTTCCAGCGCCCTGGTCTACAACTGGTGGGCCAAGAGCGCAGCTGGGCCAGGTCCAGATACGAGGTGCAGCGGCTGTAACAGTGGCCCCCAGGCCTTAGGCTGAACAACCCAGAATCTGGATGCCAAGTGAAACCAGTGAGCACACACCACCTAATCCCAGGATCCCGGGTGGCTCCCGGAAGGCTCTTCTGGGGATCCTGGTGGCCAGGCAAAGGCTCTGAGAGATGGCTAGAGACTCTCGCCCAGCGCCGGGCTCCGCTCCAGCGAGGTCCAGGCCCTCTTTCCCAGGCGCACAGGTTTAGAAATAGGACGGCCTCGCCCGGCCGCCGCCTCGGAGGCTCGGGTCCCCATATATAGTCATATCCACCGTCAACTGGGAGGCCGGCAGGCGGCAGCGAATGGGCGTGCGGCCCCCGCGGGAGGAGCGAGGAGGGGGCACGGGGCGGAGGCAGGAGACTGGGAAAGGGGGTAGGAGGAACAAGCTTTTCCAAAAAAGTATTGGCTGTCCTGAGGAATGCGGTCGCCCCCCTGGGAAAGTACATATCAGAGAGCAGAAGGCAGCTCCGCGCTCGCACTCCTCCGCTACCCCACCGCGCTCCTGTCTCTGCTCTCTACGCTGCCCAAGGGCCCCTCGCCACCGCCACCATGGACGCCATCAAGAAGAAGATGCAGATGCTGAAGCTCGACAAAGAGAACGCCTTGGATCGAGCAGAGCAGGCGGAGGCTGACAAGAAGGCGGCGGAAGACCGGAGCAAACAGGTCTGCGTCTACTCCCACTCCCCACCGCCCCGACTCTGAGTCGGCGGATCGCCCCCGGGACCCATCCCAAGCCCAGAGTGTCCAAGAGCGCGCGTCTTTAAAAAAGAAAAAAAAGTGCGAGAGTTAGGCTGATTCTAACTTTTCTGTCTCGTCCAAGGACGCTTGTGGCCCTTCTCAGGTCCATGAACTCCCTAGAGAGGCTGTTGACTCTCGGGACTGGGAATCAATTGTATAAGAGGAAGGGAGAAATGATACCAGTTACCGGTGTGGCTGGAGGGAAGGGCAGGGGAGCGAGGCAAGGCTCAAGTCCTAAAGTGTCCGAAGTTCTTTGGACTTTTTGTTTGGGGGAGAAAGAGCCCTTGAACATGGGGTGGAGACTTTGGAGGGAAGAGGGGGGTCACTGAATAATTTCCTAAGAACAAAGATGGGACAGAACGGAAGATACAGAGGAAAGTTAGCCAAACAGGGGCGTGTTTCTGCAACCCTTCAAGTCGGGGACCTGAGCTCTCTGAGCTCTCCACAGAAAACTGTGGTCCTGGGAGGGGGTGGGGTGCGAGATGAGTCACTAAGCGGTTCCAGCTCTGGGCGATTATCTAGGGTCCCTTGAGCCCAAAAGCAGCGATTCCCCTAGCCCCAGGGCCCTAGCCAACCTGGCACCCATTTGTTATGTGTCTCACACTCGGTCCGTGCCGGCCGCCCGCGCCCGCTCGCCGCTGCCCCCAGCTAGAGGAGGACATCGCAGCGAAAGAGAAGCTGCTGCGGGCGTCGGAGGACGAGCGGGACCGGGTGCTGGAGGAGCTGCACAAGGCGGAGGACAGCCTCCTGGCTGCCGACGAGACCGCCGCCAAGGTACCCCGGGCGCGCGGCGTGGCACAGCGCACGAATGGCTAACTTTCTCTTTCTCTCTCCCTCCCTGTCTTTCCCTCTCTCTCTCTCTCCCGCTGTCCCTGTCCTTTACGGTCTGTGCACCCTCACCCCGCACCTTGCGGGATCACGCTGCCTGCCGCACCCCACCCCCTTCCCCCTTCCCCGAACTCCACCGCCAACTCCCAGCTGGAAGATGAGCTGGTGTCACTGCAAAAGAAACTCAAGGGCACTGAAGATGAACTCGACAAATACTCTGAGGCTCTCAAAGATGCCCAGGAGAAGCTGGAGCTGGCGGAGAAAAAGGCCACAGATGTAAGTGCACGCTCACACTTCCTCCCTCACCTCCTGTCCCCGTGGCCACCCTGGGGGTCACCACAGGGGCTGCAGAGCAAAGGAAGGGGGTAAACCTCCTGCCGGACACCTGCACACAGCCTGGCCGTGGCCCAGAGCACTGGATGCCGCCTCTGACTGCCGCTGCGCACATTCATTCCTTTTTCTCTTTTTCCTCTTTACCTCCCCCACTTTGGTTGGAGGTGGGTGGGTGGGTGAGAAGCTGGGAGAACACTGCCTCTGGAATGGGGACTTCTGGAGGTGAACTTCGCCTCCTGCTGGTATAAAACCACTGAAGTGTGTGTCATCACCAAGGTTTGTGCAAGACAGAGTACCCAGTTTTTTTGTTTGTCACCCCCAGTGGTTTCCGCTGGATCCAGAGAGCCTGGCCTTTACTTGAAAGGCTAAACTTGAAGGCTACAGGGACACTTTGAGACTCTCTTTCTCCCTAGGCAAACCTTAAGACCAGCCCAGGGAAGATGATCCTTGCTTGGGTCTGCAGTCTGAGGCACTAGATCAGAAAGCACAGGGAGTTATATATAGCTCAGTGCTTTATATGGCATCGTGAGCCGGCTGCCCCCTGCCCGCCCCACCCCCACCTGCCAACCCTCTGACAACCACCACATACTTCCAGGGGGTGACAGACACAGCTCCAGCTCTGCTAAGCACCCTCTCCACTGCCCTTCGGAATCCTAACTACGGAGCTAGTCTCTTCTGTCTAGAAAGTCAAGCTGAGGGTCAGTTTTTCTTTTCACACCGCTACATTCCATTGGAGAAGCTAATTAAGCCTAGAGGTCCAATTAGAAAAGAATTCCTTGGGAAGCTGATAACAATTCCAAGAATGTGTGAGTAGCAGAGAAAGCTACACCCAGAAGTTGAACCCCAAGTTTGACAGAAGCTTGTAATTTTTGAGGGGGTTTTGTGTTTTTGGATCATATATAATGCAAATTACCCAAGAGTTTTGAAATATTCAAGGCCTTTTGTATCACGGAAGGCTTGAGATTTATCTAGTGTTCTTGGTAAATGAGTGGTCCAGACATCCAACTGGGATGGAATAAAAAAGAAAATTTTCAATGACAAGTTTCCTGGAAAGGAGGCTTGCGGAAGCACTGGTTTAGCAAAAACTTATTAATAAGTCCTACCTGGTTTTAGAAAAAGAATAACAACAAAAACAGTCTTCATGACTCTTGTTTAGTATAATGTGAACCAGATGCCTGCTTTGTACATACTAAATGGAGGGTGCCCATCTCCCCCAAATCCTCCTGCAGGACATTGATTTAGGTTTTTCAAAAGAGCCGCTGATAGTTCTAGGAGAGGTATTCCTTATAAGGAAAGGAATTCAGAGAATTTGCAAACAGCCCAGTAAGAAAGAAAGGAGAAAAACGTTGCTATAATTCTTAAGGGGGGGGGAGATAATAATTGCTGTAACTATGGAGTGGTAATCATGTCTTTAATGAGAAATCATGGGGGGGGGAACTACTGGAATGGGGTGGGGCAGATGTAGAGAAGAGACTATTTAAAGTCAGCTGTGGGGGCGGGGCCAGGAGGAGAGGGAGGTTCTTAAAGACAGTTTTGATTCTTTCTGTGTGCTGGAAAACTGTCTCTAAATATGGTGCGAGTTTGTGCTTCTCTGTTTCTTTTGGTTAGTGTATTGATCATCTGCTTCTGTAAAACACTGTTAGCTCTTTGAGACCAGGAATGTTGAAGGGAGTTTGTGAAGACTCGTTATATTTAGAGAGATCTTGACTTACTTGAAATAGCTAAGACTTGAAGAGGAAGAGACAGGTGTCACTAGAGGGAAGAGGTGGGAGAGAAGTCCTGAGGTATTTCAGGGAGGACATTTTATTCTCTAGTGTCAAGAAATATATTTCCGATTAGAATTATTAAAAATATTTTCCCAATTTACCAACCTACTTTACAGAAACTTTTTTTCCCTCCCAGTTTAAAAGGCTGTCACTCAGGAGCTAGCATCTCTAGTGATCTCTTTTGGGTTTTTCCTGGTTTTTCCACCTAAATGAGGATGAGTCCTGTTAAGCCTCCGTTATCTTGGCTCCTTCCCCCAATAACTGATGGAGCTGATATTTTCAGGATGTGAGGCTTTATCCCTCTAGCTAGATCTTCTTCCTAATGTAGTGACTGACTCGGGCTTACCTAAATTCAGGTTTAACCTGGGATCTCTTGGGATGGGACCTAGTCACAACATTTCTGAAATAACCAGGGGATTCCATCCTGTGGCTAAAACCTAACAACTAACTTCCCATAGCTCTTTAGTAATGACATCAGCTTGAAACTAAACTCCTGAAACTGATTTCCTAGTGTTTGAAAAGCAACACATTAATTCTCTAGGATGGCTGCTACTGTACTGGCAAGTGGGCAGTATTTTCTCTGGCTGCCCTTGAAGGGTTGCTGATGCCCTGTCTGGGCATCCTCAAGGTTGGAAGCAGATGGTCTGTGAGCTTTGGAGAGGAGCTGTACCCACCACCACTCAGCAGACCAACAATGGCTTAGAAACCAAGCAAGAGGCTCCACCTGCAGGACTTGAGGACCCTAGCCAGAGTTTGTGGGCTTTCTTTCTGCAGCAGAGACCAGAGGGGACTAGGATTCCAGAAGTGTTCTGGTTTGGGAAGACAGCCTTGGTAGGAAGGTTTTCTTTTTCTACCTTTGTTCACACACAAACATACACACACATTTTTTTTTTTTTTTTTTTTTGGTTTTTCGAGACAGGGTTTCTCTGTATTGTTTTGGAGGCTATCGGTCCAGCCTGGCCTCGAACTCACAGAGATCCGCCTGCCTCTGCCTCCCGAGTGCTGGGATTAAAGGCGTGCGCCACCACCGCCCGGCTCATGCACACACATTTTAAACAAGTCCAGGGCTGACTTTAAGTCTCTTTGAAAAAGGTGTAGGAAAATATAAAGTCCAGAGACTTGACAGGCGTTTAAAAACACAGCAAAGGAAGGAGTGGTAGAGATGATTTCTTACAGTTTGTGTCCCTGTGACTTTCCAGCTGGTAACCAGAGGTTCTGTCACAGGCTTCTATCGTCTTGCATCTTGGGTTCATTGGATTCCACATATCAGACTAAATTAAAACTAGGGAAGGTTAAGATGCTTTCCTTGCTTGAGATTGCACAACTGGATATGGGGCCCAGCCAAACTCTTAAGGTAGTGCCTATGTTTGTTTAATTATACCGTTTGAGTTCTAAACTATATGTAAGGCATTGTTAAGTGTTTTATAGTACCTGATAATTCACAACAGTCCCATGAAGAACTCTGTACTATTATACTCGTTTTTAAGCGATGAAGCCCTGAGAAGTCATTTGTCCAAAGCCGCACAACCAGCAGAGACCTAAGAACCAGATTCAAATCTAGAAAAGCTGTATTTAGAACCGTCTAAACTGCATTGTCAGATAGTAATTTACACTTGGTGAGATAATTCGGATGTTGCGGTTCTTGTAGTCAGTAGCGTGTGTTCTGGGATTCTTTATATGAACCACCTCCCTTAAGTTATACTATAGGCTCCGCCAGCAGGAGTCGCCATGGCCTTTGCATTCGAATGATGGTGTTCTTTACCACCTGAATGTTCATTCATGGTTCAGGCTCCTACCCCGGCTCAGCTTCAGAGTAATCGGGATTCCGGAGCACTCCAAATAGCCAGCAGGAGTCGCCATAGGCTTTAGAATCCAGGTCCTCCACTGGCGGCCACCCAGGCGCAGCGGAGTGGAAGCAAACGCCCTCCTGCGGTGGCCTCGCTCTAGGCGAAGCAACCCTAAAACCAGCCGTCTCCGCGCGCAGGCGCAGTGGTTCCACCGGCTGCCCAGTCCCGGGGTCCACCGTGCCCCGCCCGCCTTCCAGCCGCGCCCGTCCTCTGCGTTCGCGCACTCGCCCGCGGCTCTCTAGTGCGGTCCTGGGGCCATAACTTCCGGACTGCTTCTGAGCCGCAGGGGACACCAGTCTTGGGCTCAGTAGCTGCAGCAGCAGCAGCAGCAGCAGTAGCAGCTACAGAGCGCGGAGGTAGAGCGCAGCCTCAGCCGCCGCCTCGCCATGGCGGGTAGCAGCTCGCTGGAGGCTGTGCGGAGAAAGATCCGGAGCCTGCAAGAGCAGGCGGACGCCGCGGAGGAACGTGCGGGCAGCCTGCAACGCGAGCTGGATCAGGAGCGGAAGCTGCGGGAGACAGTAAGGGACCCACCCGTCACCCCCGAGGCCCCACGCCGCACCTGGCGCACCTAGGCCAACTGACACCCGGTTGCTCAGTAATGCCTATGTATCTCTCTAGTGTAAAGTCAAAACCTCCTGGGGGAAGCAAGAGTGCTGTTGGGAAGGTTCTAGGAGCGGCATTTTTCCTGTGAGAGGACTGCATTTCTGGGGTGATTACGAATTGTGTCCTAGGGATGTGCACTTTGCGCTGCTGGCATTTACTTACTCATACTGGGGTTGGAAGAAGGCGTCCTTAAAGAGCAGTCTCTGGGGAGAAGCACTGTAGGACTTCGGGGCCTGCGGATGCTGGGCCTTTTTTTTTTTTTTTTTTTTTTTTGGTCTCTGATCCTGTGGTTCCTAAAGGCTGATTCTCCATGGAGGTTAGACACTGATAATACCAGGTTCTGAGGGAAGTGTTAACTTGCATAGCCTACATCCCTTACAGCTTTGGTTTCTTAGCCCTCCCGTCTCCCAAGTGGATATTCCTCTACAATAGATATCTCTTTGTTACAAGTTTTGGAAAAAGTTGGCCAGACATCAACAGTTACTGGTTGTACCTCTTGCTGGCTACCCCTCCTCCTTGTCTAATGTAAGGCAAATGAATCCAGCAAACAGAAACAGGATTTCAAAGGGAGTTTAGATATTAGGTATTTATCAGCCGCGTGTGTGTGTGTGTGTGTGTGTGTGTGTGTGTGTGCGTGTGTGCGTTCGCGTGCGCGCGCGCGCCTGTGTTTTAAATCAAGGTATTCAAACACCTTGGGTATTTTATGACAAACAATAATATGGTGTCC